GAAAATAAGGTATTTCCCATAGTAGTCTCACTCTCTCCAGCAGTCTCAAAATGTTGTTCAGGAATTATTCTGTGGAGAAAAACACTTTTTTGGCACAAAAAATGTTTTCCCCTCCTGAAATTAGAACCTGAATGGCAAGATATATTTGAAATGAACACAAAGAAGCAACTTGGGCCCACTGCTCTAGTGATGCTATATTCCTAACCAAACAACAAGCTAACTTGAAGGATGAATTATTAACTTTTAAAGCTTGTATGTTTTAATCCAGGGGTAGGCAACCTTTCCCCTTTAAGGGCCGAGGGAATTCAGCTCCCAGAAGCCTCAGCCATGTTGGCCAATAGTCCCATGTTGGCCAATAGCTCCTGGGATTCTGGGAGCTGAAGTCCCTCGGCCCTTAAAGGGGAAAGGTTGCCTACCCCTGTTTTAATCATTGCAGTTAAGAAGTCTCTACTGTTTGGTTTGTTGGAATGCAGATCTCCAGCATTTTGCTATCTGTTCCTAAATTTCCATACAGCTGACTGCTACTGTTTTTGTGTTCTTAGAAGCTGAACAATATCAACGACATCCTCAAGTCAGTGTTCCTCATTTTCCCTCACTTCTGTCTGGGTCGTGGTCTAATTGACATGGTGAAAAATCAGGCTATGGCAGATGCCCTGGAAAGGTTTGGTAAGTGAAATGTAGCTCCCACAGAAACGGATCTTAGTTGTGTGGACACAGAAAGACAAAATTGGGGCTTCATGAGGCAATGTGGGTAGAGTGCATAGTGTTTACTCAACACTAAGCCAGTGAAAAGTTTTAGTAGAAAAATTCAATTTTTCTACTAAAAAAAGCTGGATTCTACAACTTGAATGAATTGTACACATTGAGTGCATTTGTGCATTCACTTATTTTTCCTATTTTCTGTTCTGTATTTGCTATTCATGGGAAGGGCAAAAGAACTATGCATTCCTCCAACCTCAGCCACTATAGATCTTATTCAGCCACTGTTTTGGCAGGCATTTCAAGCATACTTTTGCATAGGAACCAGTATATTTTCTTTAAAAACTGTTGCATTTATTGGAAGCAATGGAAACAGAATAAGAGAACGAATTCACTCACAATATTTTTTCGGTGGTCATTTTAAGACACTTTGAACAAACATAGATGGAGTCATGATTAACTCTTAGGTATATATTTTGTGTGAGATCCAGTGTGGCACAGTGGTTTGAGTGCTGGGCTATGACTCTGGAGAACAGGGTTCGATTTCCTGCTTGGCCATGAAACCCTCTGGGTGACCTTGGGCGAGTCACATGCTCTCAACCTCAGGGGAAGGCACTGGAAAACCTCCTCTGAACAAATCTTGCCAAGAAAACCCCTTGATAAATTCACCTTAGGGTTGCCATAAGTCAGAAGTGACTTGAAGGCACACACAGCAATACATTTTTGTATTTTTTGTATTTTTGTATTGTCTCTCTCCTGCATAATGTGAGAAAGGATCCTAAATCTTTGGTAAGTTTTTAAAATAGCCATGAGAACATTTCCGATAAAGGATGGCTTGTCATCGGGTTTAAATTGTGTCTCTGTTGGGATAAACTTTTGATGTATGTTAAAAATCAATATCTGCTTTAATATGTAACAGCAATAGCTTGTTGCATGCAGTCTTATGGTTGGGGAATCTTCTCTTTCTCTCTGGCAGCTGACTGGATGCCTCTGCTTTTCCCAATTAGGTGAGAATCACTTTGTCTCTCCTCTCTCCTGGGATCTTGTGGGACGCAATCTTTTTGCCATGGCCGTGGAAGGTGCCGTCTTCTTCCTCATCACAGTGCTCATCCAATACAGATTCTTTATCAAACCCAGGTAAGAAAGTTTCCATAGCAATGGGCCTAGGAACAACATATAGAGATTTGGGGGATGAGGATTTCAGATAAGGGACATGTATCTGTTGCTGTATCTATTTGAAATTTGTTTCACTTTTTGGATAACTGGAGAGCCACCAGCTGCCACTGGGGAGGGGAAGAGAAGAGTTGGGACAAGGGCACACACACCAAAGTCAAATAAGAGACAAAACAGTGGAACAGTGGTAGCCTCTGAAGCCAACTCTTCATTTCTCAACTTCATCCTAATATTTATTGAACATTCTGTCTAGATTAGAATGAGGCTAGGCTCCCTTCTCTTCTATATTACCAGGCAACTCCTTTCTTTTTCCTGTCTGATCTCTCCTCTTTGTTCTATTGCATCTCCATTAATTCTGTTTCTCCTCTGTCCTTGCTCTTCATTATTAAAGTCTGCTCTTCAATATTAACCACATCTACTTAGCATTGGGCTATTTCACACAATAGACACAAGCCCAATTTGCACTCATCAGAGAACTGCTTCCAATCACAGGGATCCTAATAAGCGTGTTTTGTGTGGTGTGGGTATTTGTTACATCTATACTTTGTATTTTTTGATGGAGCATCTTAAAATACCATTGCTCTAATGCAGGATGTTTAAAACACAATTTCTCTAACCTTGGAGCCCTATAGAAGTTGTTGCAGTGCAGCTCCCAACATTCCTCAACCTTGGCTGTGTTGACTAAAGCTGTTGGGATTTGCAGTCTGATGACATCTGGAGGGCCCCATAATTCCCATCCCTGCATTAGGGAATGTGTGAAGTGGCCCAGTGTATATAGTATGTTAACTGCTGGAAGGTGTTTTGAGTCAGCCCTTAACTTAAGCTTTTGTAAATTGCAGAAGGGGTATTTAGGGATATTTAAGAATCTTGTGGACAATCAGTCTGTTCAATGTTTAATGCAGAAACCTTAACATGTTGCTTTCTATTGTTTTCCAAAGGCCTGTCTATGCAAAGCTTCCACCTGTGAATGAAGAGGATGAGGATGTGAACAGAGAAAGGCAGAGGATCATTGGTGGTGGTGGGCAAAGCGATATCTTAGAAATTAAAGAACTAACCAAGGTGAGAAGAAAGAGCACACCCTTGGGGCAAAGTGTGCATATAGGAATATGGGTTTTTATGCATCTTTATAAAGATTTCATTCCAAAGCCTGCTGCTCTAAAGCCTTCATCTGATGAATGCTGAAATAATGGAAGAAGAATTGAACAATGGTCAGCATTGAGTGATATCTTGCTGGGCTTTCAGGCATTTACAGGATGCAGAAAGAGCTGCCGTTTAGACATTTGCTATACAGTTGGCCCTCCATTTTTGTGGGGGATCCATTCCAGACCCCCCCCCAAAAAAATGGAGACTTGCCAATAATCAAGCCCCATATGCTTGAATGGAGCATGCTCCCACGGATGCATGCCCCATTGATTTCAGTGGAGGTTGTCCATCCGTGAATATGCAAAACCGCAGACTTGAAGTCAGTGAGAACAGCAGGGTGACTATAGTTCCCTTCAGAAGAGCTACTTCACACTGACTTAGCCCCTACCTTGATTGTGTTTATTCTGGCTTGCCCTGACCTCTGCTGTCTGGTCATGAATCATGCATGAATGGCAGGTAGGGATGGAAAGAATATTAACAAATATTTGAACAACAGGTGAAGAAAGGGTTTTCCAAGTATCAGTAAACCTGGATGAGGAGAAATCCTGCATGACAGGAATTTTTGCAGTTTGAGCATGTGGGGGGCGGTTTGTACAGAAAATGACATTTTTATTGCAGGAATGTTGTTTTCTGCATGGGAAACATGATATTCTGTGTAAAAAAAAATTCTTAAACTGAAAATTTGGTTTCCTTTTTTAAAAAAATCAACTACAAAAGTGGTTTTACTTTCATGCAGAATAATTGAAATCAAATTTGCACTTTTTGATGACTTGAGAAAGTTGATTTAAGTTATTTGTTCTTTAGTATAAGAAATTTTTTTAGAAAATATTAATCTCCCTTTTACCTGCATGTAGGACAGGTCATTGTGCATAACTAGCAGAGCTAATCAGTTCAGCAATAGTCTCATGCATTGATTCAGCATATACACTGGATTTTTGTTTTGCTTTTTTGAATGGGGCTTAAAACATACACCTGTGCATCTTTATTGATTTTACAAGCAGGATAAAAATCTGGAGGCTCTCGGAGAAACTCCGTTGTCACTAGCTTGTTTTGCTTGGGAAGAAATGTGAAAAGATAGAACTTATAAAAGTTAGTTGTTGACAAGAGCAAATATCTGTTCCTTTTCCCAGATATATAGAATGAAACGAAAGCCAGCTGTGGATAGGATCTGTGTTGGAATTCCACCTGGAGAGGTAATGTTGTCAAGTTTTTCTCTGTGTATCTTTAGTAAAATATGATCTAATACAATAACCTGAAGGTTGTTGTTGTTATGTGCCTTCATTCAAGTTGTTTCCAACTGATGGGGACCCTAAAGTAAATCTATCATGGGATTTTCTTGGCCAGATTTATTCAGAGGAAATTTGCCATTGCCTTCCCCTGAGGCTGAGAGCATGTGACTTGCCCAAGGTCACCTAATAGATTTCGTGGCTGAGCTAGGAATGAAACCCTGGTCTCCAGAGTCATAGTCCAACAGTCAAACCACTATGCCACTACTAAAATGCATAGCACTTCAGTGTAGTAGGAAAAAAGCTCAGCCATGCTGCTTTCACATTGAGCTGTTAAGTGAAATTAACTCCATCACACAGATGAATAGTGCATTTCACTATTGGATGGATGTTTCTATAACCCCAAGTGTGGGCAACTATTGTAGGCAGGGCTACACCGCCACACTCCATAAAAAAATTCAAAATGTTTATGGCAGAGTATTTACATAGTTTGCCTGAGTGTTTTTCAGAGCAATTTGTACATGTTTTATTGTCATCTTTACAAACAGGGATGAAGAAGTAGTGTCAAGTAGAGGCCTGCATTCCCCCACTTGCAGCCCTCTAGAGACAAGTTGGCATAGGGGTATGTGTCCATACACACCCTAGCATCATTTCATCCCTTGGTGAAGCTCTGTTGGTTGCAGAGCTTGGGAAAGCTGACCTTGGTGGACTAAACAAGATATCTCTGCTGGTCAAATTAGGTCACTAGGCTACAGGTTCCCTATCCCTGCTTATAACAAACCTGTAAGATAAGCCAGTATTATGCTCATATTTCACACAATGTTCATGAAGGCTACTTGTCTAAGCTAGACCCAAGTATATCTAATGACATTATGGCAGAGGGACAAGACTTGGCCTAAGGAACATTCAGTTTTGTAGCTCAACCTCTTGGCCGCTGCATTAGAGAAGTGTATCTCAATCCATATAAGACTAGAGTCATGATTTTTCAATGCGTGAGTTGATCCAGAATTTCAGAGGAAATTAAATAGGTGGTTTTTGGTTTCATGCATCATTTCAAGAATTGTGTATGGTGTATGGGGATGGAATGGGACACACATGTGTTGACCTGGTTTTGTAATGTTTGCAGTGCTTTGGTCTTCTGGGTGTGAATGGGGCTGGCAAATCTTCCACCTTTAAGATGTTGACTGGAGACACTGATGTTACAGGAGGAGATGCTTTTCTGAAGGGAAACAGGTATGGAGAAAATGGTAGTTTTATTTAAATACATTTTCTTTCATTGGCACTTCTGTGCTTATGTATTTTCAGGTTTAATTCTGTTTTAATGGGGTATGGGAGGGGATGCGGGTGGAGGGATTGGGATATTGGATTGTTTTTTAACCATTGTATTTTTAACAGTTGTAAGCCGCCCCGATTGCTGTGCAGAGGGGCAGGTTATAAATAAAAAATTATTATTATTATTATTATTATTATTATTATTATTATTATTTACACAGCAGATGAAATTTCACTGAGAATCACAACAGATTCCTTTTAAGATTCCTTCTCTTTTAAGATCACTGTAAGGTGATGAGGGATGTGTATCTCTGACACAATTTGATACTGACCACACAGTTTGACATCTTGAGAAATATCCATTTTTATTTTGCTAAATATTAATCATCTTGGTTGATAAGAAAGTGGGAATGGGTAGAATTTCCAGTGATCACGTTCTTTAGCCATGGATTCCAAAAGACTGCAGGAAAAGTTATTTAGTGAAGACTTAACATTTTAAAACTAAGCTTCTATATACAATTGTTGTAATATGCTTTCAAGTGAACTCTGACTTAAGGTCACTCTGTCATAAGGTTTTCTAGACAAGATTTATTCAGAGATTTACCATCACCTTCCCCTAAGCCTGAGAACATGTGACTTGGTAACTTACAATTGAATTAATAAAACGAGCTTGCAACTGAATTAAATAAAATGAGATCTGCTAGTCCTCATGATTTTAATGTCTTTTGACATTTCAGGAGCCCA